AGAAAAAAAAAGCATTCGCATGTTTGATCTGTTCATCGCCATCTGTCGTCGGTATCCATCAATCTTCGTTCTCTTGCGGTGAAGCGTTGGGTGTTTTCGAAGCAGCGCTTGGCTGCATCTCGCTGCAGCGTTTGGCTGCTTCGCTGGCTTCTCGCACGCAATTCTTCACAGCAGTTTCACGGGTGCTTTTCGAAGGGCCAGCCTGCTAGGCATGCTTGTCGCCTATGTTCGGGCCGCCCTCTTGGGCGTTGACACCTGCGTTCTGCGTTTTGCGTTCTACTCCGACGGCCCTGTGAGGCTGAGTGCGCGCACGGCGCCGCCGTGCATCCTGGCGCAGCCGAGCCCACAAGAGCCGCGCTCCGCGAGCATCGATCCTCGGACCTCCTTCTCCTCCTCCTCCTCCTCCTCCTCCTCCTCCTCCTCCTCCTCCTCCTCCTCCTCCTCCTCCTCCTCCTCGCGCCGCGGCGGGTAGGGTCGGGTCCTGGGGTGTCGGGCTGTCCCGTTTGGCCGCTCGGGCCAGGGGGGGCAGCGTGACCCTCAGGGCACGGCCTCAGCTGCCGCGAAAAAAAACACCCACTGGCGGAGGGTAGTGAGTGCTGTTCGCTAAACGCTTGGGGTCCTGTCCGCCCCAGGGTCAGTCTCAGCACTCGGGTCACCTCGCGCCACAGAGTGTTCGGGGGAGGCTCACGGATGCGTGCCACCTGGTCCCCTTTGGGCAAGGGGACTTGCGGGGGTGTCTCTGGGCTCCACTAAGTCGCGCGCCAGGTGGCCCGCCTGTGTGGCCGAGGGAATTCCATGGTCCCGACCTGCAGAGGTAGGCGGAGGCGTGGGTCGGCACCTGGGGGGTGGGTGTCGTTATCTGAGTGAGCCGTGCGGAGGGACTCGCTTGCGGCTTTGCGTTGTTCTAGGGTGAACGTTCAGCCTTTTATTGCCGTTATGGAGCGAGGCTGTCTGTGGAGTGGGCGATCCGCTTTGCTGTCGGGTTGTACGTTGGCCGTTGTGCGCTAGTGTCTCGTTGAACTCCCTTGATTTCAGCTCAGCATCCATACAGCGGCGCACTTGTCTGGCCGCTCGGAGGAACTTTGGGGCTGTCACCGCGCCCGACCGCTCTCAGTCATGGGTGAATGATATGGCCGCGCACTCGGGCGCCCCCTGCTGTTGTGCGCTTTTTTTATGTGAGCTTTCGCTGCGCGGGGGCTGTGATTCCTGTAATTCCTACTCCTCCTCCTCCTCCTCCTCCTGCTCCCCCTCCTCCTCCTCCTCCTCCTCCTCCTCCTCCTCCTCCTCCTCCTCCTCCTCCTCCTCCTCCCTCTCCTCCTCCGCTTCCTCCTCCTCCTCCTCATCATCATCCGCCTCTTCCCCTTCCTCCTCCTCCTCCTCCTCCGCCTCCTCCTCCTCCTCCTCCTATTATTAACCGCCGACGGGGACGCGCGGTCGCACTGACGGACATGCATGAAAGGACGATCCAATCAACGCGCGGCATATGGGGCAAAGTTATCCCACACATGTTGCTCATAAAAAGGGTCCAGTGGCATCCAGAACGGGGCCATCGCTCCGGACAGCACGGGAAAGACGGGCACACGTTGAAGCTGGTAGCGGCAAGCATCAGTCGCCATAGCATTAGCAAGCAACTTACACAACTCCGCGGGATACTGCTTAGCCGCAGAGGTTACAAATTGCCCATTGCCATGCACACCTGCTAAATTATTACGATGCGAGCGATGATTACAGCACCCCCTATTAGGCAACACAAGGAGACGATCATACACAGGCTCGGCATTTATCAAAAGCAGAGTGGTTGGCTTCCGAGACGGCGCGCCACACGCGCGCTGACCCACATTGCGCAAGCGTCCAGACCTGCACCCGCCCTTACCTGCAAAACCAAGGATGGCACGCACCTCCCCTAACCCCCACACGGATGGCAGGTGTGCGAGCTCGTGTTTACGAGGGTGCTCCATCACGAAGAACCTTCCTGCTGCTGCGCACACATAGGCAGCCTCGATCATGGTCTGTAACCATCGAGAACCAAGGAGGATGTGTCGCCATTCTTTAGGCGTGCAATGCGGGAGCCCCCACGGCTGAGCAGCACTGCGCACGACGCGCGGGACACTGCGGTCGCTAGGGGGGGGGGGGGGGGAGGGGGGGGCTAACCGCCGAGCCGCAGTCCAAGTCTCGCACGGCGGACCTCCCAGGACCCCAAGAGCCCCCCCCCCCCCCCCCCCCCGACCGCAACATGGAAACAAACGTTTCGATGGCAGGGCGGCTAGTTAAATACCCGTAAATTCTACCATTAGCGACGTCAGTCGACAACGTACAATTGGCAACTCAGATCGCCCCCGGAAAGCGGCGAAGACGGGTGGCGCAACTCCTACAGCGCTGGCACGGTTAACAGCCTGAAGACAGGGTCCCCCTAAAGTGGGACCGATGAAACGGGTGGAGGGTCGCTCGGCACAAGTATGGCGCTTGCCACGACTCTTGAGGTCCTTAGCCACACAAGCAT